TAAATTAGCTTCAACAACCCCCAAACGGCTAAATGTGACAAAATGAAACGGTAAATCTTCGGGGCGTTAAGAATTACCATACTTTAGGGATGTTGTCTTGTCATTCCTTTGACAATAGCCGATTGGGGCGATAAACAATTTATATTGTTTTTTGTACATCCCAAAGTTAGAGAATAAACAAGATTTTATTGTATTTATCCTAAGAAAGAAAATAAGCCCCTATATTCTTAGAATTATATGAAAACTTGCTGTTGCCCGCGACTCCGTCCGCGCGGAATAAAAGAAACGGAATTATGAAGGATATGAGTGCCAAATTTCTTCAAAATCCGTTGATTCGTTCCGGAGATACCTTCTGACAAACATCCATCCATCCATCTGAAAACTCGCATTTAAAAGTAAAATAACTTCATACTAATGTTATAAATGCGAATGTTTGGATGGATGAATGTTTGTTAGAAGGTATATCCAGAACGAATGCGTGGATTTCGCTGAAATTTAGCATACATGTAGAACGTAGCGTGGAAGAACACATAGGCTACTAAGCTTTTTTTAAATTCCGTGCGGACGAAGTTGTGGGTGACAGATCATTGCAGATAAAAACTAATCACTAGCCTAAAATAACGATAAGTTTTGTACATTGAGCAAACAAAGTTATGTTTATCTTTTAATACCTTTATATTATATACATTATAAACATTTTGGTTGACTGTACAAGTATTCTGTGACGCAATTCAAGTTATATTATTGCAAGTAAAATAATGATAGTTAACAACAATTAATTACTTAATCGAGGCATTCGAAATTTGTGTTGAATCTCTTAAAATGCACATAAAAATACTTTAATAAAATCTATTAAACATGTTAAATGTCGTCGTGATACTAAACAATGTGTGGCACGTAATAAATAAAACGAGCCGAGAAATATTTGTCACGTAACACTAAGATATTCACGCGTGTTCGTTCGATATTTGATTACAAAACGTCACAAACTATCAATTGATAATATCGTTGTCTCTGTTTTGTTATAGACAATGATAAGGATGACAATATCTAATCTTACATATAAAATTCTCGTGTCACAATTTTCGTTTCCATACTTGAAACGGATTAACCGATTTTTATGAAATTTAAATGGCTACTAGCTGTCACCCGCGACTCCTTCCGCGCGGAATTAAAAAAAAACATAATTGGTAGCCTGTGTTCTTCCTGACTATGTTCTAATTCTGTGTTAAATTTCAGCTAGATCCATGAAGCCGTTCTGGAGATACCTTCAAAAATCCATCCATCATTTAAACATTCGCATTTATAATATTAGTAAGAAAAAACATTGACTAGGTGTGAGAATCGGCTATTTATTTTTTAATTCCGCGTGGATGAAGTCGCGGGCACAACTAGTGTTTACAAACAAGTATATCGAGAGTGGAAATTCGCAGTTAACACATTTGAGTATAGTGTTGTTTGTTTGCTGTATATTCTAAGGTCATTCTTTTGATGTCTTCTTAATCAAATATCTGTGTCATTTCGTAGAGTTTCAACACCCAAACTCCTCGAAATACTTAAAAGAACACCCAAGATACTTTAGGAGATTGTTTCAGTGTTATCCACTGGGTCAAATAACTTTGTCGCACTATAATATTCTTAAGTCTGTAAATACTATAGATCTAGACATCTATAGACACGATTTTTCGTATTTTTGGAGAATTGTCTGTTCTCAGAAATCAGGCAGATGCGAGATGTGTTCATAGATTCTAGAGTGTAGACTAATTTATGGTCGACACTAAAAGACTTTTTCGTCTATGTCTAATTAGCGAAATATTCGTGAATTTATGAGGTTAAGTTTAATCTGATTATGTGTGAATGAAATAGATTATTTTAGCTGGAATTTTCATTTAATTAAAATCCTATACCTAGATAGATTAGGTCAAAAACTCTTGCTATTCGTCTGCCTTTAATTTCACGCAACCTTTCTTAAAAAATATCTTCTTACTAATATTATAAATGCAAATGTGTAGATGGATGTTTGTTTGAAGGTATCTCCGGAATAGCTCGTGGGATTTTGATGAAATTTGGCACAGATGTAGAACATAGTCTGGAAGAACACATAGGCTATTAATTATATATTTTTTAATTCCGGGCGAACGAAGACATAGATCGTGTCTTTTTTAACTTATCATTTACATCTGTAGTTACAAGTTTTGTGTATGTTTTACCTTACTGGGTTATAAATTCTAGATATCTTGAAGTAAATAAGAGTCAAGTAAAAGCGCTTGCAACTTACAGTAAACATAGAGAAAATTTACACAGTTTTAATTGCTAATAATTTAACGGAAGATACGTTACGTAGTACCGATAAATCGCGCGTTCCGGCAGGACTGTGTTCAACTTAAACTTAGGTGTTTAACTGCAATTATCGCATTCTAGGTTCGCATTAAATCGTCTTATTGAATGTAGGGTGACTATGGCTTTTTTTGAATATGGACATTAGGTTAGTACAAACTTTATACTCAAAGCTAGTTATGGTAGAAATCCAGAATGTGGTAAATGATTACTGATAAATCTTTTAATCGGAGTTTTCTTTTGTTGACTTTATTATGCCAGTG